GACAGCCTATATCTATTGATCCTAAGAGATAGAGAGTGAGGCAGCCTCACGTGCTCCTGGTCTCTTTAAAAATATTACAGCAGTAATTGTCTTTAAGCTGTACAGAATCATAGAAAGAAGCTCAGATTATTCTTGATTTTTTTTTTCATTCCCTCCTTTCATGCAGCATATGAAATAACTATGTGATAGTAACAGAATCTGACAAGAAAAGTATTGTAGTGAGGAGAGTACAACTTCACCTAAAATCTATTTTTTTGTGTGTTTGTTTTTGTGTCTTTGAGACAATGTTGATTCCAGGCAACTGTCTGGACAAGTCCCTGCAGTTTTCTTGGCAAGATTTTGGAAGTGACTTGCTCTTGCCTTCTTCCTAGGGCTGAGAGAGAGTGACTGGCCCAAAGTCACCCAGCTAGCTTCGTGCCTAAGGTGGGACTAGAACTCATGGTCTCCCAGTTTCTAGTCTGATGCCTTAACCACTACACCAAACTAGCTCTCATTAAAATCTATACAGAATGTTATTTTAAGTATAGGGATTTTTATTCATTTTCACCAATGTACATATTTTTCTTGAGCTCACACAATAAATTGTAGCTGGTTTTTAAGATCACTGGGAATTTTCATGGCCAGTAATATCTGTCATTCTGAGGTCAGGAAGTCAGTCAACCTTCCCATTCTTGAGCATTCTCCAGATATGTGAATTTTGCTTTCAGCATTGCTTGGGCACCAGCACCATGACTGAGAATTCTTAGAGTTGACATTCTCACTTGTGCAGGGTCCCCAGGTTAGGGAAAGCTAATTCAATTTTCTTTCAACTTTTCTTTAAATTCATACTACCTAATAAATTATTTTCATGCTGATTAAAATATTTTAATATAATTTTATTAAAGATTTTTAAAAAGGAAGATAAAAACTAATATAAACTAATATAAAGCAAGAAAAAGAAAAGAAAAAGAAGTAAAAAAGAAAGCTAAAAGGGCAAGAAAGGAAATAAGGTAAAAGAAAAATAGAAAAATGACACAAAGAAGTGGTTTCTGATCTTATTTACAGCAGTTTTAAGTACAATTATAAACTTACCCCTTACTCTGTGGTTACAACATAACTCTTTTCTTTCTATAATCTATCCTGTCTAATCATCAAAACCATAAATCATAATTTCATTTTTTTCTGTATCATGCAAAGTCCATATTGGGTTTCCAGTCACCAATAAATGTAGTTATTGTCTTTTCTCTGATCAAGCAGTCAATGTAGCCATTCCGCAAGTTCCATCATCTTCATCAACCATTCCTCCATTGTGGGTAGTGCCAAGTCTTTCCATCTTTGTGCATACTGATTAAAATATTTTCCAAGTATTATCTACAATAAATTCCTGGCTTTGTCCATCTGTTTGTTCCTTTTATTTTGTACATTTTAAAAAAGTTGAAGATTCTTAATTAAAATTAAAAGTAGTGAAATAGAAGGGAAAGGTGGACTCTATTCCACATACTGTGAACATTTTAGAAGTGATTAGGAAGATTTCACTTTTGGAAAAGTAGCTGTTGTGAGTGAGCTTCATCCTTTCTTGGCTCTGTTCTCATAGCACCCTTAACTAGATTAAATTTATCATGCACACTCTAAAACCTAGCAAAGTAACCCAGAGAGGGTCTCATTTAGGTCCAAAGAGACCCATTCTTGAGTCCTCACCCGAACACGTTTTAGAACCAGCTGAATATTCTTTTTCCTGGGGTGTGGGAAAGGGATATATTAGATTTCTCAAATTTAAGAAGATTGTGTTAGTTTATGGGTCTAATTAAAATAGTACCTCTACTTTATTTCCTTTGTCAAATCAGACCTTTGTGTAATCCCCAGACCTCTTGTTAAAAGTGGGATTGCACTTATAATTTTTAACATGATTGTCATTGAGGATAAGGCCACTGCAAGACAAGCAAGACATCCCCATCTTCTGTGACCTTCATTTCCAGGGAAATGTGTAATGAAAAGTAATAGGATAACTTGAACTGTACTTTGCTGTTTTAATAACTCCACAATAAAAAAGGAAAAAAGTGTGACCTTTGAATCAAAAGATAAAAAAACACAGTAAACATTTCTAAGAACTGAAAGCAAGCAGCCTTCTATTTTGTTTGTAGAACTGTATAGAGCACAGAAAGCTAAACTCATACAGAGAATGGGTGCTATAATTTTCTTTGTTAGTCAAATGAAAGAACTTGTGTATGCATTGATAACCTTTTAACTTGCTCGTGAATAATTAGAAGGTAGATGCTGATACAAAGCTCCATTTAACTATATAAAGTTAATGACAGGTTAGTAAATCAGCTCTCTGATCAAGCTTCTTAAAATTGGAGGAGAACAATCCCATCTAGGCTTGATAATGTATGCCATATAAACACATTTTAATGATCCATTTAACATGCTCTGTTGTTACATTCTTTTATATCTTTACAGTATATTCTGAGCAATCTACTTTTCCCTTCGTTTACTGTTCCTTTAAAACACAGGTTTAGATAGGTTGTTCCTGATGTGGAGGCTTGCTTTGGGGGGGATTTATTATCTCTACTCAGCAAATCTTGAGATAGCCATCTCAAACACATTTGAGAAAGTTTTACTACTACATACTAGGCATGGCAACTGTGCATGTTCATATATGTGCCCTGCTTCTCCTCACTTCAACTCCCAGTAAATAAGCCTAATCTCCCTTCGCTTTCATTTAGAACTGAATTGAGGGCTTTGAATCATCACTGGATAAGTTTTCTTTGAATCATCATTGAAAGTGTCTTCTCCATACACATACACTCTTATATAATTTGTACGTCTCTTTTTTAGCTAGAGTTTTAGTAGTTCACTTTGAATTAAGAGAAAAAATGATGCTGTAAAGCCTTTTATGAACATGTTTTTTTAAAAAATCAGAACAGTTGAGACTTCAGGAAAAGTATTCTTGGCAGCATGCAGCTACTTATTTGGAAAACTAATTTTTTGTTTTTGTCCCTTGCTGTCACCCATATGATTCAATTATTGCTTGTTAGACCACAGACTCTGTATGGGAGGTTTATTACATAAGTTTTTTTTCCCTACTGCCTGCAGTGCATTTATCCCCTAAAAACTGAGGAATGCCACAAACCTACAAGTTTGGGTAGAAGCTAAAAAGTGTATTTTTGCTTAGTGCTTTATTGGAAGCTTACTGCTCCCTGGGTATTTGCAGACCTGGGGAATAGTGGAGGGCTTAGAGCATATCATTCAGTGAGCCTCAGCGGTGGCCTAGGCAAAACCCATTCTGGATATTATCATCAGAAAAGAGATTGGAAATAAAACCGCCAATACTGTAACGGAAACATACAAGTCTGTGGTGCAGCCACCATTGAAAATGAAGAGTTTTCTTTAAATTGCTTCATTTTACTGACTCAGGACTCTTCAATTCAGTCTTGGCACTTTGGTTCTCTTTCCCTCTCCTTCATGTAAATACTGTAGATCTACACAAATCTGTCCATCTATGGATGCAGGCCTTTCTTAAAGAAATGTAAGAAAATCCTGCTCTTAACTCATAGTCTATCTGAAGCTGGAAATAGCATTATCCATTGATAGTCCACATTAGAGACTGTTCAGATACTTATCTTTTGGGATGATCTGGAGTATTTTGATGTTGCTGGCTAGAGGAGAGGTTGTAATAGGTCATTCTGGTTGATGGAAATCCTTAATCAGATGCAAATTCTTGCACTTTTGAGTTGCAATGAAGCATAAGATCAGATAAACTAATTCTCATTAAATGTACTTTAACTAATAACCATTTATAACTTTTTTTTGTATCCCCCATTCACATACACTCTTACATAATTTATACAGCATTTTCTTTTGTTTTGGCAGAAATTAGACTTTGTGTTGATGATTAATATTTAGATTTTCCACAAGATGAATGGGACCAGAGTAGCTGAGAAGTTGATCTATCATACAGGAGAAGGTTGCTAAGTGTTTATGCTAATGAAAATTTCTTTTCAATCTTAACCTCTCTTTCATGTCGGTTTACTAATGAAGTGCCCAAGCGTACCTGAACACCAGCAGGAATTAAGTCTTATAGAACCTTAGAAACTTGTTTGTAATTTATTTGACTAAAACATAGTTAATAAAAAATATCATAAGAAAAGAGAAAAGCTAGATGTACCAATGAGAAAGTAAATAAAGTTTTGGGGGATTTTTTTTCCTCCTATTTCCTACTGCAGGAATGTTGGAATTTATTTTATTGAGGATTCAGTCAGATGAGAAAGTAGACATTGTTCTATCCATTTTTAGTCTTACAAAAGTATTTACATTGCATTGTTGATCTGACACCTTCTAGATTGCTCACTGTTCCTTTTTTCTTGTCTTTAATCCTATTTATATTACATGTCTGAAGTCAGTGCTAGTGTCCTTTTTTCAGCACAGTCCTATCTATCTCCATCTCCATCTCCATCTCCATCTCCATCTCCATCTCCATCTCCATCTCCATCTCCATCTCCATCTCCATCTCCATCTCCATCTCCATCTCCATCTCCATCTCCATCTCCATCTCCATCTCCATCTCCATCTCCATCTCCATCTCCATCTCCATCTCCATCTCCATCTCCATCTCCATCTCCATCTCCATCTCCATCTCCATCTCCATCTCCATCTCCATCTCCATCTCCATCTCCATCTCCTAAAAAATAAACAATAAAATATATTGCAGTGAAGAGTGAAAAGCCAGTGTGGTATAGAGTTGGCTTGGCCTCAGGAAAATCCAGGTTCTAGTCCACTCCTATCCATAGCAGCTCACTGGGTGACTGGGCCAGTCACCCACTCTCAGCTGAACCTATCTCACTTGGTTGTTGAGCTTTGAGCTCCTAAATGAAAAGATAGGATATAAATCTAACAGACAAGCAAAAAACAAACAAATAATACATACCTACTTAGTGTTTCTTCAAGTGAAGAAACTGTCATTCCAATATCTAAGAATAATTTGTGTCTGCTGCTGTTTAAGCTGGCTTTTTTTTCTCCCTTAGTGCTGTGACCTGGGATTCCATGCTAGTTTAGCACGGACATTCAGAACATATCTTTCTGCTGAATACAATCTAGAAACCTCACGCCATGAGGGGTTGGACATAATTGAAAATGCTGTAGACAACCTGGATGCACGAAGTGACAAACATACAGTCATGGACATGTGCAACCAGGTCTTCTGTCCTCCTCTGAAGTTTGACTACCAGCCTCACATGGGGGATGAGGTATGTAATTAGAAATGGTTCACATTGCTTCATAATGCAGTTTTCCTTCAGATATCATGCTTCTCTCATCTTAGAATTCATACCTTTAATGGGATTTGTGTTTCATTTGTTAGTTTTGAAATGGTGTTATAGTTAGTGGGATTACTTTTTCTTATTTTCTTCTTTTTAGGACAAGGACCACATTTTCACTGTATGCTTAGATCATTGCTATTTTCCATTTCACTTAGAACTTTTTAGACAATTACTGTACCAGTACTTTGGTTCTTTGTTAATTGTTCATTCTTTATTGAGAATTCTTTCCGCCATTGAAATAAATTAAGAAACAGATGGCTTTTGCTGGGCTGTATCTTAGGCATAAGAAAACTATTAATAATTAGGCCTTTTATAAGGTGATTAATTCAGATCCTGTCTGTGGAACACTAGTTATGTAAACTCTGTCAGAATGAGCCAACATACCAGTATATTTGGAACTATTAGAGTTGTTTTGGCATATTGGCATCAATGGTCATTACTGTCATTATTTTATATATAATGACAATTACATGTCAGACTCAAAAAAAAATTCTTCTATTGGCTAAAAATTTAAGTGCTTCATTCCTGATTGTTCATTTATGGCAGTTTGAATTTTGGGGTCACTTTATCTGAAGATAATTTTTTTCTGCCAATATTCTCCTTTAGCTTGAATTTGCAGAGGCTTATGTGTTCTTGCTACAGGTATGTCAAGTGAGCGCCCAGCAGCCAGTTCAGACGGAGTTGCTCATGCGATATCATCAGCTACAGTCTAGACTTGCCACACTCAAAATAGAGAATGAAGAGGTGAGAGCTGTAATTGTTTTTAACTGTAAGTAAACAAGCACTGTCCACTCAGTTATGCTAATGCTTCTGTTTGAAGTGATGTTGAAACTCATTTGGATAGTTAATGTTTTCGTGACTAAGATATAGTTTTCAACCCAGGATCTGTGACTGTTGTAATATGTACCACAGGGGACTTTCTTTCAAAAGTATCCAGTAATTGCCCCTGGTACAAAATACAACAGTTAGTCTGCTAATGAGTACAAGGTACAACTATCACATTATTCCTGTATTGAAATATCTCCACAAATGGTAATTTGTTTACTTAGGACAAACCTTTGATGATTAAATAATTTAGGACCTGACTCTCTTAGGAACCTTTTTTGGTTATACTTTTAATTAATATATTGTAATATGAGTTTTAGGCTATGTTTTACTAGACTATGTTTTGTTTTTCCTTTTTAAAAAGAATCACTACCCATCTTTGGTGGATGTTGTTGCCAGAGCTTCAGCACATATTCTGATAATCTTGTAGGGTTACGGTGATGGTGTCTTCATTATAGATATGGGATCCCCAGTTTACAATACAGGTAGTCCTCGACTTATGAACATTCGTTTAATGACTGTTCAAAGCTATGACGGCACTGAAAAAGTGACTTATGACCAGTCCTTGCACTTATGACTGTTGCAGCATCCCCACAGTCATGTGATCAAAATTCGGGCGCTTGGCAACTGACATGTATTTATGATGGTTGCAGCATCCTGGAGTCATGTGATTGCCATTCGTGACATTCCCAGGGGGCTTCCGACAAGCAAAGTCAATGGGGGAAGCTGGATTTGCTTAACAACTGTGTGATTTGCTTACGACCGTGGCAAAAAGGTTGTAAAATTGGGCGAAGCTCACATAATGACTGCATTGCTTAGCGATTGTCAGACCTAGCCCAAGGAACTCCAGGAGACCATGCAGATTCAGTTCAGCAATGTTTATTAGCTACAACCTCTAGCAAGAATCTTCCCAGACTGAAACTTTGCTCCCACAGTCAGCCAGTGAAAACAGAGTGAATTCTCAGGGAGGTGCCAGTCTCATCCTCTTATCTCTTCCTCACCCCTCAGGAGACGACAGAGCATGTTT